GTCTGTCGTAAGATGTCGTCCTCTGTCGTAATATGCCGTGGTCTGTCGTAAGATGTCGTCCTCTGTCGTAATATGCCGTGGTCTGTCATTTTCTTCGTGTTCTCCCTTTATGTTGTGGTATGTCATTTTCTTCATGTTCTCTCTTTATGCCGTGGTCTGTCTTTTTTTTGTATGTTCTCTCTTTATGCTGTGGTCTGTCGTTAGATACCATAGTCTGTCGTACTATCCCATGGTCTGTCATTTTCTGCATGATCTCTCTTCATGCCGTGGTCTGTCTTTTTTTGTATGTTCTCTCTTTATGATGTGGTCTGTCGTAAGATACCGTAGTCTGTCGTACTATGCCATGGTCTGTCATTTTCTATATGATCTCTCTTTATGCCATGGTCTGTCATATGATGCCGTGGTCTGTCATTTTCTCCACTTTCTATCGTAATGCCGTGGTCTGTCGTATAACAGACCACAGCGTATCCCATTTCCTATATATAGGCCTGCATTTCTAGCTATCAATTCATTTCATCGATTGACACACTTGCAAGCAACATCCATTGTATTACTGCAATTCTTATTCACAACTACAACAATCACAACAGCAGCAACTTTTATATCATCGAAAACAGGTCTGTGCATATTTATGTTTAACATGTACCACAAAATACAGGTGTCGAAAAGATGGACGTGGGAAAACCATTCCAACAACAAGACGAATCCATGAAACAAATTGAAAATTCAAAGCAACATCGACAACATCCATTTGAAGGACATCGGAAACTAATGGATTCATTCAAGCATTTCCAATTCAGTGACGCTGATACTGTATACTACGAAACAAACTCTAAGTAAAAGTGATATTTTTTTTAATGATGTAAGAGTAACAATACAAAAGAAATTAAATGTTTATTCATTGTCATCTGTGTTGTTTTGTCTCATTGAAATAGATGTGTTGATAGTTATTTTTTCGTGAACTATTTTTTTTATGGAATATTGTATTTGAAAATCAGCGTTTAATTGAAACATTTTTTTTTGCTTTGATTCTAGATAGAAACATTGAACATGAATATGTATACAGAAACCATTATCAAAACGCCAAGTCAAGATGCTCAAGGCCATTGGTATGATTTACGTTCACCTACACAAATGTGTACTGGAAAAGAGAAAAATCTAGGAAGTATGAATACACACTTGGATAATGATTTTATAACAGACCACAAAGGACAAGCAACGATGAATGTTGACGATGACAATTTGTTCAATAATCAATATGTACAGGTGCCAAAAAAATATCACTCAAAAGTATGATGTTTTTTTGTGGTGAATAAGTTTCATAGTCATTTTTTTTATTTATTTTTCTCATTTTTGTTTAGTCATTAGAAGAACAAGTTTTATCACAAAAATTAAGTCAATTATCTATGATTTCTCATCACACACCTGAACATCTCATTATGGTCAATGAAGATGATGTGGAAAATGTGCCATATTACCTATCCAAAGAAAGTGAATCTTTTCAAGAAATTACCGGCAATTTATCATCCAATGAATTGATCGAAGAATTACGGCAAATGGCTATTGTGATACATCAAATTTTTATCATCGATTTAGAAAAATCACTTTGGACCATATATTTAAAGTCCGGTACAGGCCAACTTCCGGTGAATCTGATGGACAATGATAATCTTACTCATCCACACCTCTGGCCCATTCAAGTACAAAAACTTATTCGTGAACAATCATCTGATAATACCGATACTGCTACATGTTTAACTTACGTCACACAACATCTTGATGAATTAGATGATAAAATGAAACAATATCAAACGAAATATAATATGAAGAAAAACCGACACTTAAATTATCTACCAACCATTCAAACATTTGTTCACCAACAACTTGAATCTGCTCGCTTGGCCACCGAACAACAAATCGCCATTGTTCACTATAATTACAATGATCATGTGTTTGAATTAACATTTCTAGCATATAATCCAACTCAACAACAGGTAATCACAAATTTTTTTCAGCTTTGAATGCACATATAGATGAATTTTTTTTCATTGTAGAAAAAAATTGTTCAAAAATTGAACCATGCAAAATATCAGGAAGAAATCACGAAAGAAGAATACCATTTATTGAAATATCGCATTTCCATAGAAGCATCATATTCAACATCACTCGAATTACCAAATGAAAAATTTTTGAAGACTCTAGAAGACCCATCTATTCGACAAAAACTACATGATCAATATTTGAACATAGCACAACAAGCAAAAAAAGATATGATACAGTTGTGCCTTTCATCCGCTCAAGCTCAAATGGATCGATATCACAAGGAATTTAATACGAAATTAAAACAATTCAAACTCCAACAACAGTCACTACCAAATGATAAAAAATTCAGTAGCAACATGATTCATTTCATTGAACAACATTGGAAGAATATGAGTGAAGGTGTCAAGTGTATTTATAAATATAAACTTGATCTAGTTCGTTTCAATTCTGTTCATAATTAATTGAATAAAAATCATCATTTTCACCATTCTCATTTTTCTTCATTATACTGATGATTGTTTTTCTTTTCATTTGTTTTAGATATACATATCTATTTTTTTCAAAGTGTACTATAAGAAATATGGAAGCTTCAAACTCAAGTTTATTTCCTCATGCACAACGGCATTCAGGTCAATCACGTGTGAATTCACGAATTCAAACTGATCGACAGCAGCATCATGTAAAATCATCAGCAAAAAAAAATAAACGAAGAAAAAAATGTCACGGTAATCGGACATTACAACGATTTAGAAAGAAATGTCGTAAACGTGGTCTCACCAAAGAAGAAACACAACATTTAATTAATGAATATAATCATAGTCATCAAGGTCAAAACCAAACGACTAATCAAAAGAAGGTGCAATCTACAACAATGGAAAAAATGGAAGTATCCACAGACTTCAATGATAATACCAATGAAAATGAAACGACAACAACAACAAAATCAAATAAACGTAAACAGCAGCATGGAACTCGGTCATCAAGTCAACGATCAACTTCACATCCCATAGTTAAAAGAATGAAGAGAAAGAAATCATCCCAAATTACTATGATTCCATTGAAACCAACTTATAAATTACCAATCTACTTGAAAGCACATCCCAATCTACTATTTCAAACTTTACGAGTACTATTGAAGCATACTTTAAGAAAAAAATCTGAACGAAAATTTCTTCATGATCGACTTCAACTATTAGATCAACAATGTCGTGTTGAGCTTCATCAAAATTTATGGCAATCGTATTTTAAATTGGGCTCTGAAAAAGAAGTGTGGCCAGTAAGTTCAAACATTCCCTTATTGATTGCGTATTTTACCTTTTTTTTTGTTCAATTCATATAGAATGTAGTTGTTAAAAGGGCAAAAACTGATGAACATATAGCGTGTGAACAATTTGTCAAGCAACATCTCAATGATATGAAAATTAAATTTGATCAATTTACCAATGAATTAAGAGTGCAATTGCAATCATGTCCAGTAACATTATTACCGTTACAATCTACCCTCGATCAACGTCTGAAAGAACTTGTTCAATTACAACAAAAATATTTAGCAATTAAAATGCAATATCAACTCAGTCGATATCAAGATATGATTACTGAAATAGACTTATTTCAAACTTTATCAAGTTTTCCTCTGACAAGTAATCAGGTACAATGAATTTGAGTTAGTAAAACATATCTTTTTACTTCGGCTATTTTTTTTTCCTCATAGCAAACTATGATTGATCGACTTAAACATTTACAAGAAAAACAAGTCCGATTCTACGAAGATCTTGCAAAACTTGATGTTCGAGTATCCATTGATTTTTTACCTCGAAGTTTTGATGAATTAGAATGGTTCATTGAATTGGATGATTATTTTCCTTTCATTAAAGATAATATTGCTGTTGAATTTAAACAAAACTGCTACAAAATTATTCAAGAAGCAAAACGTACATGGTTAAATACATATGTTGGTGCTTATGAAAGTCAAATCCAAGCATTTGAACATCACTATGAAGTAGAATTACATCAATTTGAATTAACTAGTTCAAGTCGTACCTGTTCAAATAATGAAATCATAACTCTGTATCAATCTTTTCTTAATTATATCCAGCGTCGAATAAAAAGACTAAAAGAAGAGATAGCTTATGAAAAAATACCTATTTATCGAAAACAATTATTACGTATTCAGCGACGTTCAAAATCCACCAACAAAACAGTCACTCTCAAGCCAAATGTTATCATCGATCTCATCTATCATCCATTTACTGCTGCTGAAGTTGCTTATCTTTCAAGAGGTCATCACATTGAATTGAATTCGATGTTTCTTATTAACATTATTCGCATCTAACATTTTGTTTTTCTTTTTCAGGGCCGACTTATATACGACCCAATCCAAGTGTATTTTTTCCAAATAAAACTCTACAAAAACGAATTGATCGAGAACATGATGATACAATGAACAAATTAAAGAAATGTATGTCAACGAACACTGACCTACCCAAGATACCACTCACATCATCCTTATATAAATTATATTCTGATCGACTTCGATCCTGTCTGACTCAAAGTTATATGACTCCTGTACCATTCCACGAACAAATACGTGCTCTACGAGAATTAAAAATAGTTCAATCTATTCGAAAAAAATTAAAAAAATATAAACTTATATTGCGTGAAACAGATAAAAGTCGTGTACTACATATTGGTCGTGCCATTGATTATGAACGAAAAGCGACTGAATATCGACAAACAACAGGTGCTTACCAAGTATTAACATCGAATCCATTCAATGATATCATCTGTACTGTAACACGTTTACTTAATCAATTAAAATCATCGAATCGAATAAGTGAATGGCAGCGAGTAAAATTAACGCCCAATCGGAAGAAGACCGAATTAGCTTACATGTATTTTATTCCTAAACCACATAAGGTAACTCTGTCTTATACATCGTATGCTTAGTTCATTGCTGAATCTGAATTAATTGATTATGTGTTTTTTTTTTGTTTAGAAAGGTACACCACTTCGACCTATTTTAAATACCATTCATGCAGTCACAAAACAAATTTCTCAATACTTAGACAAATTAATTCGTCCCTTATTCGATCGATTTGTACGTCATACAACATTTGTAGATGGTGCTGATCTTCTTGATCAACTTCAAAAATATATTCAAAAAGGTTATTTTAATTCATCGACTCTTTTCATTATTTTCGATATTGCGAACCTTTACACCATGTTACCACAAGAAGAATCCTTAGCTATACTCGCTGAATTTCTTCGTGTACATAATTGTGAACGAATTAATGGTATTTCAATTGATACTATTATTGAATTAGCTCGTGTCGTACTTCAAGCAAATGCTTTTGTTTATAACAACAAGTTTTATCGACAAATTATTGGTGGTGCTATGGGTTCGGCCTTTACTTTAACATTAGCAAATATCTTCATGTGGAAATGGGAAAGACAAACTATTTTACCAAAATTACCTTCACATGAATTATATGGCCGGTATGTATTTTTTTTTTCTCTAGCATCAATAGAAATTTAATTATATATATATATGTTTTTTTATAGATATATTGATGACGTCTTCTTTACATGTAATCAATCTGAAGACAAAGTAAAAGCATTATTAGAAGCAGCCAATAAATTTCATTCAAATATTAAATTAGAATATAAAATTAGTAAAAGTGTTCCATTTCTTGATGTTTATGTTGAAAACAAAAATGGTATTTTGGCATCATCTATCTATCATAAACCTTCGGCTGAACCAACCGTGGTATCATTTTTATCAGATCATCCACGACATGTATTTCGAAATGTTATTCAAACTGCTCTAACAAGAGCCGTACGATATTCTTCAACATTTGAAGTATTTAATAATGAACGGCGTGCCATTCGTTTAATGTTCTTATATAACAGGTAAATCGTCTTTTTTTTTTCATCTATTACAACACTTGATGGACACTGATTTTTTTTAGATATCCATCCAATTATATTAATCAACAATTCGAAAAATTCTTTGCTGACTACATGTCATCAACTTCTTCACCAATTTTACCAATGATTACAAATGAAAGTCAATTTCTTGCATTACGTGAAAAATTATCAAATCAACCCACAGCTAAACAAACACAACTATCAATAAGTGCTGCTGCAGTAGAACTTACACAACGAACTCAAAATGTTGCACAACAAAATGCAAACAATATGGAAGCAACAGTCAAACGAAAAAATGATAAGTTCAAAAATAATATATTTGTTCATGCTACCTATGAATCAAGACTCAAAGGTTTAGCACGAGAAATACATATGATACACGATAATCACTTCAAAAACACCGTCTATGGAGAGAAACGATTAATTGTTGGTTTTCGAAATAATTCAAATATTGAATTCGAATTATCACGTAAACGACCAGCGTCATCAGTATTGAAAGATCCATTAGCGAAGAGTAAGATATAACCAAGTTTTTTTTTTTTTCTATTATAAATAATTGTTTTTCTCTTAGAACGTAAACCAAATGGCGTCAATGGCAACGGCGTGAATATCTCCTGAACATTACATAGCTTTAAAAAAAAATTTATTCACTTTTACTTTTGAAAAAAAAAATTCATTGTATATTCTTTATTTTTTTTCTTTCATTATTGTACTGTATTTCAAATATATTCTACATTAGTTTCTTTTTTTTTTCATTCTAGATATCTAACCCTAACTAGTTCGTATCGGTATATTATCAAAAGTTCAACACAACTATTAGCAAGCAAAAATGAAAAACAAATTCAATCAAAGTCAACAAAATCGTACAGGTCAACATAAGAAAAAGAAAAATCGTCAATTACGTATGAAAAAGAAAAAAGTCTCGAACAAAAATGAATTTCAATTAGCAACAATGGTTACAAGTACATGCTTCCAAAATTTATTGACATCACCAGAGTTACCAAAGAAAACAATATCCAATCCTTTGGACGTAGCAACAAGTTCTGATCCAACATTATTATTACCAGATTATTCAAAATTATCCGATAGCAAATTTATACAGATGTTATTAGCATCAACATCAAATATGATTAATCAAGATGCACTTATGGAATTATTAAATCAGAAAGAAATATTATTATTTATTCGTGAACTTACACAGTTAGTCAATAAATTTAATTATTCTCAATTACAATTTGAACAATGGTCTTATTACAATAATCTTGGCATAACCGAAAATATTTGGAATGGTCGAGTATCAAAAAAAATGGCCGAAACTAATTCAATGTGTTACACATATGGTCGATCGAAAAATTTAATCAAACAACGTCTTACAAAATATAAGCAACAATGTGATAAGAATCAAGAGGCTATTAATGAACATCTAAAGCAAGCATCATTCAGTATTGATATACAAACTATGACAACTATGATAAATAATTTAATCAATAAAGATCAATATGAATTACGACTGGAACTTGAGAGAAGAAAAACAATGCTTCGACTAGATGCTGAAGAACATCAACTTGTTGAAAAATTTTATCAACTAAAGCCAAGACAAACAGAGGTCAGCATACCTTAAGTCTTTCATACATTTCAAAAATATATTAATATTTAGATAACTTCAGCAAAAATTATATGGAAAGCTAATAATGAACAACAAAACATCAAACATGAAATTGATATATTTAAAAAATGCCTTGAAGTTCATGCACAAGAATCATCATATACTCTTCAGGGCATAGAATTACCAACTATCTATCATATATTCATATCACTTAGTTTTCAAGAACAAATATCAACAGTCAAAGATATTGCTGAAAAAACAATTGTTAAAGCTGAAGAAATCGTACAACATTACAACAAAATAGTAATCTTAGAAAAACAAAAATTACAATCAACTAAATCTCATCATAAAAATCCTGATTTACTTGAACAAATCATCCATTCTATCGTTCAACGTGAAAATAATTTGCAACAACGTCGTGAATATGAACTTCAAGGAAAAATTACCAATATATTCAATTATACACGAAATACACAAATGGACATCCAACCCAATATACCACCTGACTTAACTGTATAAAATCTTTTTTTTTTCAAACTAACTATTGTACCTTCTATATATCTGTAAATACACTATATGAATTATGAAATAAAAATTTATGAACAAAATTCTCAACATATATATAAAACCTTTCCTTTCATTTCAGATCATACTTATTCACAACGTACTACGGCGTTACCATTCAAACTCGACAAAACCAAAAAACAAACACACAAAAAAATAAATATCTACACGATCGTGCCAATTGTGGACATCAATCCTACCAAAATTTTCAAGGTATATAGAAAGCCATTTACATAACTTAATCACTCCTCTACACGATTCTCTAACATATAGATTCAGATACTCTTTTTCTTTTTTGTTTCAGATTTATTATCTATATTTTCGCTGTTAAAGTAAAGGATATTGTAGCCTGATTTATCTTAAATGGCTTACCAAACCAATGACACAACTGAAACAAATAACATCTCATCAGTCTCATCTGATGACGAATTAGACAAAGGATGTTATTATTGGACACCTGAATTTCAATACAAGGACCATTGTATCAATGAAAATGATTGGTCTTCATCTGATGATAGTGAAAATGATAGTGATGACAAAGAAATAACTTACCATCATAAAGAAACATCAAGTGACAAAAATATTAAGTGGAGTGACGGCTCTTATCTTACTCATGATGAAGGTTTACAATCTAACACTCGATTCGAACGTCGACAAGCATGTTATTATCAAGACAAACTTCGACAAATTCGACAACAATTAAAAGATAAAAATCTTATTTTACGACCAATTTATAAAGATATTGGATATCATGTGGAGTCAATCAATACTTTTAATAACAAAGTCAATCAATTTTTGAACCAAACAAGCAGCTATTCATTAGTTTTTAAGCTCAGCCGTTCATATCCGACAGCTAGTCAAAATTATTTAGCTAAAATTGTTGAACGAGTTGAAACAACATTGAATAATTTATTACAATCGAAATCTATTACTGAAGCACAATATATGGCTATGAAAATCAATCGATCAACCGTACGAATGAATTATTTATACTTCGTATCAGACACACATAAAGTATGTATCTCTTTTTTTTTAAAATTTTTATCCTATAGTTTATCTTGCCATATAACTATATATAGGAAGGAATTCCAGTTCAACCAATTATCGTATGTAATGATGGACCAACTATGGGTATTAGTCGTTATCTTGGTCGTCTTCTTGGATTACTTTTTAATGATGCAACTTATTGTAAAAAATTTCACAAAGGTTATAATGTTATACATACTATGGAATTCTATCAGAAAAGTGGTCAACTTCGACCAACGACTTTATTTGCTTCATTTAATATTAATGATTTATGTTTAAATTTTTCACATCAACAAGTTTTAGATGCTTTAGAAAATTTTCTCAATTCTTCTATTGGATCAGATCATTCTATTCAAGGTATGACAATTACTACCATTCTTCAACTTATTCGTCTCGTACTTGATGAACAATATTTTATTTACAATTATAAATTATATCGACAAACTGCTGGTAGTGCCTCTGGTTCATCATTAACTATTCCATTAGTCTATATTTATTTATTTTATTGGCAACAAAATTTATTAGAAGATCTTATTAATAAGAATGAAGTCTTTTTCAGGTATTTATCCTATTTTTTAATTATAAAATCATATTCTATTTCTGTTCGCTAATATAGATATCGAGATGAAGCATTTATTACATGGAACAGATCAGAAGATGAACTTCGTACATTACTTGCTATGGCTAATTCACAATTTTCACAACCTATATGGAATATAACTGATATTGGATCAACTATTCATTTTCGTGATATTCTGATAACTAATAATAATGGACTTCTTCAAACAAGTGTTTACCACGAACAAGCATTCGAACCTATCATGTTAGAATCATCATTTCAAGATATACTTCAACCTGCAATCAAACAAGATACATGGAAATGGCTACGAGCCGCTTTCTTAAAAGCAGTCCGATACTGTTCCGATAACAATATTTTTAACGAAGAAAGCGATGAAATCAAGTGGCAACTTAATCAATATCAAATACCTGATCTTATCATTAATGAAGCCCATCAAGAAATTATCCACGATTTTGGTGCATGGGTTATCTATCAACCATACATTAAATCTAATTATGAAATTCTACGTGACCATGTTTTCAACTATGATAGATATCGAAAAGCAAAGAAAAAAGAAAGACAAGGAGAACAGAACAAAGAAACACAAATACAATTGCATCTTCCTTCTATACCAAACCTGGACGGAAGTACAATAGACGAAATCGAACAACAAATAAATACCAACTTATATCAACAATTTAAAGATCATAGAACAATGCAACATGTTACCGTGACAATTAGACAAAAACAATCGTTCTTCGACAAAAACTTTGACTATCTAGTGAAGAAACAACCAGACACAAGCTACTTGACTTTGCCGGAAGAACCCAAAACATATACAAAGTATGCATTCAAACACAAATCAACGTTTTAATAAACATATTCTTTACTATTCAATAGACCAACTACAAACAAAAACCCTCTACAGGAATTGCTCAAAAAACTACTACCAGAAAACTGACACTAGTAACTCTTTCATTGTACACTACTAGTTTCCTATATTTAATAAAATTCCATTATTACATAATAAACCATTTGAAATAAACTGCTCGACTCATCCATTGTTTTTCAGATACGAAAAGAAAATTAAACAAACACGGCACAAACCCGACCTACAGAAAAACCACTCAAGAAGTCCACAACTCACCACACAAGGCACAAAACCATACCGACTACAACCTCATACAACACCGTAAGTACAAAAACCAAACCTTCACATTCCACTAATCTAAACGAACCGCAGCTGCAAAACATACATTTAGAAACACAAAAAATGAACTAAGCATCAGATTGTCCTGCTAAACAATACAAGACAACTACCATGTTCTTAGATCCATTAATAAAAACTAAATACCTTCTTCAACAGTTCTGTGCTGATTTTCCGCTCCTTCTACTTTAAAATATTCTATACACACTCACCTCTTATGTGAGTGAAACAAAATTAGGTTATATCTTCAAAGTAGTTTTTTCAAGCATCATGTGTTTGATTTGAAAATTTTATATTTCTAGATCAACTATATTGGTATTAAAGCCACTTCATAAGATTTGCGTCAGTAACATTCGAAATACCTTAGCTATCGTGGTAACTCTATACACATCCAATTCGAAACTCGCCTGAAAACATCATCATACGCAAACGAAACACATCGCATAACCAACCCACAAAAAAAACAAACGAAAAAAAAAATACTATATTGCCAACTTCACACATGGACTATTCTTGCAGGTAAGACCAATTTTCTTATACATCAAACTACAAAATCCCCGTATCAAATATCGATCGCTAGCTAATTTTACGCTTAACATCCAAAAGATTAGCAACGCCAACCAGAAAAAAATTTCATTCTTATAATCGCAGAAATATCCGTACGCCAATCGTACTAATGCATATACACACCCCATATTCTGAGTGCCTCTCAATAAAACTCACTTGTACATATTTCAGGTGTCATGTTTGGAATCAAAAAATCCTTGGATTAGGTCAACTGATACTGAGACCACTTCATACGATTGAGCTTTAACAAAACAACAGAAATAATCTAATACTAGGTTATCGTGGTAACACTTAACACACCCACTTCTATTGTGAGTGAAGTCTGCTGGTTTTGCAAAAAAATGAGTAGATTTATTCAGGTGTCATGTATTAATTTTGAACTCATTGGGTTTTAAAGAACTCTTATACTGATACTGAGGCCACTTGATAAGATTTGAGACAGTAACATTCGAAATACCTAAGGTATCGTGGTAACACTTAACACACCCATATCAATAGGGTTGTTCTACTGGATATTAAACTCTGGTAGAACTATAGTGTCATGCTTTGATTCAATTCTTTCAATTGGATCTCTTAAGCGGATACACTTGCCACTAGACAAAAATTGTTGAGTTGAGTTGAGATAAAAGAACATCAGAAATAATCTTCTACGTTATCGTGCTAACTTATCCACACCCACTATTATATGTGAGTGAAGCTGCTTTAGGATTTTTATCCTCAAAGTTGCTTTTTCAGGTATCATGTTGTGGTTTCAAAATTCATTTTGAAATTACTATACTGGTACTGAGGCCACTTGACAAAGGTTGAGTTGAGATAAACGAACATCTGAAATAATCTAATACTAGGTTATCGTGGTATCTACACACCCATTTCTATAGGGTTGTTCTACTGGATATTTTTTCTAGTGGAACTATAGTGTCATGCTTTGATTCAATTTTATTTGAATCTCTAAAGCTGATGCACTTGCCACTTGACAAAGATTGTTAAGTTGAGTTGAGAAGAAACATCTGAAATAATCTATACATAGGTTATCGTGGTAACTTATA